CAGGTCAATGCCTGTTGTCCTATATGCCGCAGACCCATTAAAGACGTCATCAAGACATATAGACCATGAGGGGAAAGAGACTGGGACCTTACTGCAGCAGGCTAGAGCAGGGGTATTCAAATACTGCTGGTTTTCTGTTCTACCTGATAATTAATTGCACACATGGTGTCCCAGGTCTACATCAGTCCTTGCTTAGAGGGGAAGAATTTTTAAAAAGCAGTGGAACTGGCTTTGAGGTCCAGATTTAAATTTGAGGGCTATGGAGACAGACTGAACACTATTGCAACAGGCCCATCAAGGTCATCATCAAGACCTACCGTCCATGAGAGGAGAAAATACTGGGACCGGCAGGCAGGGCGCTGTCTCCACCCCAGACACGTCTCTTACCAAGCTGGACACTCTACACTACAGCAGGTCCATCAAGGACCTCCCTCATCAAGACATATTGACCCTGATAGACACACTCCTGCTGTAGACAGAGACACACTGGACACAATGCAGCAGGCAGGCAGGGCCCTGAAAGAGGATAGGCAGGCAGGGCCCTGAAAGAGGATAGGCAGGCAGGGCCCTGAAAGAGGATAGATAGGCAGGGCCCTGAAAGAGGATAGATAGGCAGGGCCCTGAAAGAGGATAGATAGGCAGGGCCCTGAAAGAGGATAGGCAGGCAGGGCCCTGAAAGAGGATAGGCAGGCAGGGCCCTGAAAGAGGATAGGCAGGCAGGGCCCTGAAAGAGGATAGGCAGGCAGGGCCCTGAAAGAGGATAGACAGGCAGGGCCCTGAAAGAGGATAGGCAGGCAGGGCCCTGAAAGAGGATAGGCAGGCAGGGCCCTGAAAGAGGATAGGCAGGCAGGGCCCTGAAAGAGGATAGGCAGGCAGGGCCCTGAAAGAGGATAGATAGGCAGGGCCCTGAAAGAGGATAGGCAGGCAGGGCCCTGAAAGAGGATAGGCAGGCAGGGCCCTGAAAGAGGATAGGCAGGCAGGGCCCTGAAAGAGGATAGGCAGACAGGGCCCTGAAAGAGGATAGGCAGGCAGGGCCCTGAAAGAGGATAGGCAGGCAGGGCCCTGAAAGAGGATAGGCAGGCAGGGCCCTGAAAGAGGATAGACAGGCAGGGACCTGAAAGAGGATAGGCAGGCAGGGCCCTGAAAGAGGATAGGCAGACAGGGCCCTGAAAGAGGATAGGCAGGCAGGGCCCTGAAAGAGGATAGGCAGGCAGGGCCCTGAAAGAGGATAGGCAGGCAGGGCCCTGAAAGAGGATAGGCAGGCAGGGACCTGAAAGAGACAGACCAGACAATGCTGCAGCCCTGGTGGGTGACAGATAGACTGGACATTACAGCAGTAGAGAGAGACAGACAGGCTGGACATTACAGCAGTAGAGAGAGACAGACAGGCTGGACATTACAGCAGTAGAGACAGACAGACAGACTGGACATTACAGCAGTAGAGACAGACAGACTGGACATTACAGACAGACAGCAGACAGACCCCTGGACCCAGACATCGTCTGTCTGTCTATGACAGCCTCAGGTAAGGCACAGGGGGGCCTGTATGCCACAGTCCTTTGTTTTGTAGGTGAATGTTTCAAGCTAGGTTGGGTGTGGACAAACACTAATCCACAACCAGACATATTGTAGGGCCTGTGTTAGGTTATCTACAGGACTAGTGTGGACGCTTGCGTGGGAGACTTTTGCCTGAAAAGACTGGCAGAGTCAGACTTGACAGAGACTCTCTCTCTCTCTCTCTCTACCTGAGACTCGCTCTACATTAGCTGAGGGAGGCAGGGCTACAATACTTGTTGCTATGACATGTTGCTATGAAGTAGCCTCTACCTGAAGGAGGTGTGTTGCCATGACGAAGCCTTGCACCTTTCCTTTTCCTGTTTGTCTGTCTGTCACATGGTTTTCTAACTGTGTGGTTTTAACTGAGGGGACTCTTCTTTGTCAGTATCAAGTAACTTCTATCTTTGTGCCTTAGACAATGTTTGTCCAATGTCTTTATGTCCAAGTTCTAAATATGACGGCAATCCTATTTGTAAATAAAAGTGTTGTGGGGTTAACGAAGAAGCCCATTGGTCACGGCAGACAGCTTATGCAAAATAAGAAGAGACTGTTTATGTAATGTTTGTAAATGAGAAAAATATATAACCTTATGTTGGCGTGTTGTGTGTCTAACTACCTCTGGAGGAAGATCTGATCACAATGAGATCACAATGTGTCTTTCTACATCGGTCAGAGAATGTGGGCACAATCAGAATGTGGGCACAAGATCAGGACAAAGGATGGAAGTCAGAACCAAGTATTAACGTGGCTTCTGTGAGAGGAAAGATGAAGGATGCATTTAGTTAATTCACCCCTAGGGGGCAGCCTCTGCAATGAGAAGTGATAACCATCCTAAGTCAAGAGAATGCACTGTGGCGATCACAACATTTCACTTGACCTTCTTTATTTTAAAGGACATCGTTTTCCATTCCCACTGTACGTTTGTAGGAATCATTATGACAAAAAATAAAACACCCAGATGTCATTGGTGCTGCAGAACCAGTTCCTCCACATTCAGCCTGTCATCCAGAACCTGCCAGTTCACAGGGAAACAACAGAACCTGCCAGATCACAAGGAAACAACAGAACCTTCCAGTTCACAGGGAAACAACAGAACCTGCCAGATCACAAGGAAACAACAGAACCTTCCAGTTGAAAGTGTTGTGGGGTTAATTAAGAAGCCCATTGGTCGCAGCAGACAGCTTACGCAACAAAATAAGACTGTATAAAAAAAAAAAATAATGAGGAAAAGATACAGTTGAAGTCGGAAGTTTACATACTCTTAGGTTGGAGTCATTTAAAACTTGTTTTTCAACCACTCCATAAATTTCTTGTTAACAAACTATAGTTTTGGCAAGTCGGTTAGGACATCTACTTTGTGCATGACAAGTAATTTTTCCAACAATTGTTTACAGACAGATTATTTCACTTATAATTCACTGTATCACAATTCCAGTGGGTCAGAAGTTTACATACACTAAGTTGACTGTGCCTTTAAACAGCTTGGAAAATTCCAGAAAATGATGTCATGGCTTTAGAAGCTTCTGATAGGCTAATTGACATCATTTGAGTCAATTGGCGGTGTACCTGTGGATGTATTTCAAGGCCTACCTTCAAACTCAGTGCCTCTTTGCTTGACATCATGGGAAAATTAAAATAAATCAGCCAAGACCTCAGAATTTCTATGGGTAGCGTCGCTGCACAGCTATTTTCAGGTCTCTCCAGAGATGTTCGATCGGGTTCAAGTCCGGGCTCTGGCTGGGCCACTCAAGGACATTCAGAGACTTGTCCCGAAGCCACTCCTGCATTGTCTTGGCTGTGTGCTTAGGATCATTGTCCTGTTGGAAGGTGAAACTTCGCCCCAGTCTGAGGTCCTGAGCAGGTTTTCATCAAGGATCTCTCTGTACTTTGCTCCGTTCATCTTTCCCTCGATCCTGACTAGTCTCTGAGTCCCTGCCGCTGAAAAACATCCCCACATCATGATGCTGCCACCACAATACTTCACCGTAGGGATGGTGCCAGGTTTCCTCCAGACGTGACGCTTGGCATTCAGAGTTCAATCTTGGTTTCATCAGACCAAAGAATCTTGTTTCTCATAGTCTGAGAGTCCTTTAGGTGCCTTTTGGCAAACTCCAAGTGGGCTGTCATGTGCCTTTTACTGAGGAGTGGCTTCCATCTGGCCACTCTACCATAAAGGCCTGATTGGTGGAGTGCTGCAGAGATGGTTGTCCTTCTGGAAGGTTCTCCCAACTCCACGGAGGAACTCTAGAGCTCTGTCAGAGTGACCATCGGGTTCTTTAAGACTTGTGTAGCGGTTTCTTGGTCACCTCCCTGACCAAGGCTCTTCTCTCCTGATTGCTCAGTTTGGCCGGGCGGCCAGCTCTAGGAAGAGTCTTGGTGGTTCCAATCTTCTTCCATTTAAGAATGATGGAGTCCACTGTGTTCTTCGGGACCTTCAATGCTGCAGAAATGTTTTGGTACCCTTCCCCAGATCTGTTCCGACACAATCCTGTTTCGGAGCTCTACGGACAATTCCTTCGACCCCATGGCTTGGTTTTTGCTCTGACATGTACTGTCAACTGTGGGACCTTATATAGACAGGTGTATGCCTTTCCAAATCATGTCTAATCAATTGAATTTACCACAGGTGGACTCCAATCAAGTTGTAGAAACATCAAGGATGATCAATGGAAACAGGATGCACCTGAGATCAAGTTCGAGTCTCATAGCAAAGGGTCTGAATACTTATTTACATAAGGTATGTTTTTTTTTTTTCAATAAATGTGCGAACATTTCAAAACATCTGTTTTCGCTTTGTCATTATGGGGTATTGTCGATTGCTGAGTTTGTTAAATCAATTTTAGAATAAGGCTGTAACGTAACAAAATGTGGAAAAAGTCAATACTTTCCGAAGGCACTGTAGTTAATTCACGCCTAGGGAATTGCATTAAAATGATAACAGCCAGCCCCTATGTAACCATCCCAACTCAGCCCCTACGTAACCATCCCAACTCAGCCCCTATGTAACCATCCTAACTCAGCCCCTATGTAACCATCCCAACTCAGCCCCTATGTAACCATCCCAACTCAGCCCCTATGTAACCATCCCAACTCAGCCCCTATGTAACCATCCCAACTCAGCCCCTATGTAACCATCCCAACTCAGCCCCTATGTAACCATCCCAACTCAGCCCCTATGTAACCATCCTAACTCAGCCCCTATGTAACCATCCTAACTCAGCCCCTATGTAACCATCCTAACTCAGCCCCTATGTAACCATCCCAACTCAACAGCCCGCACTTGACCTTTTGTTTTAAAGGACATCGTTTTCCATTCCCACTGTACCTTTTGTAGGTATAATGTCATAATGACTAAACAAAAACAAACGTCATGGGTACAGCTGAACCAGTTCCTCCACATTTCAACCATTCATCCAGACCCTTACAGTTGACAAGGAAACAAGTGACTGTTAAAATAGTTTTAATTACAGATAAAAAGGTGGACAAGTGAAGCTAACACGATGAAGACTACTCTATTTAAAATACCATTTTACAAGTTGATCATTTTATTACCAAGAAGTACACTACACAAGTCTTAAAGACTAGCTAGTGAAGGGTTAAGTGCTCTACAGAAGACTTTGACAAAGCACGTAAGGTTTGGAGAAGGAAACAGGTGTTGAGTATATTGAGACAGCTTACTGACTCGTCAGCGTTTAGAAGGCAATAGAATAGAGGTCAGTGTTTTGACAAGGCAACAGGAAATGGTTCAAAGTAATGTTGAGGGCCTGGTGTGTCGCTGAGACGATGGACGGTCACGTCTGGTTCAGCACTCTCCTTTACGCCTGATGTGAACGTCACTCTTCTGCTCCCTGGGAACACACACAGAGCGGAATTAAAAGACACAGAGCGAAACGAGGCAGGCAGGCACAGACAGGCAGGCAGGCAGACTTGCACAGAGCAAAACAAGTTGTTGAAAGCTTTAGTTGGTTTCTTACATGTTTTCAAAGCACAGCATGCATTCGTTAGAGTAGCTGGTGCCATCGCTTCCACACACTGGCTCATAGTTCCGGGGGCACATGGGCATGCTGTACTGGGAACAGTCAGCCTGTTGGACAAAAAAACAGGTTATGTAATAAAGGACTTTGGTCTCAAATAGAGAGAGGTATTGGTAACATAGTGTACTGGTGCCCTGGTATGACACAATATGAACAGAACAGATAACAAACCATAAGTTTCCTGCTCTTTCCACTGGCGTAGTGCACCTGGGGTGTATTCATTAGTCGAATTCTGTTGCAAAACGTTTTGCAAAGCCATTTACAGTTACTCTTGGAACCAAACGCAACAAAACAGGGCATTTGTCCAATAGAAATTCTCGTTCATTGCAAAACGTTTTATATTTGGAGTAAACGGTTAATTGCAAAACGTTTTGCAACGGAATCCGATTAATGAATACACCCCTGACTGTCATGTCAACCAATTGTTGACCACGTAGTGACTGTATACATACAGGTGTACTTGGTGAACAATTTAATTTTGTCCAGAGAAAGACCCATATCACTGTTCTACATTACTAACTAATCCAGCCTTTCACTCCAAAACATAAACAAACCGTTTAGCCTGTTTACCTCTGTGGTGCCGTCAGGGAGACTCGCTCCTCGGGCCAAAACTAAAATAGAGAAAGATGTCAAGCCTTAGGGTGATTATGATTTAACGGCAGATTTGATTTCCAATCTAAACGACAGATTGTGCATGTTTTCTCTAGTTTAAAATGTGCGCGTGTGCCAACAATGGCAGTTTGCTTTTTATTGTTTTTTAATTAAACTATTTGACTGCCACTAATTAAGTAAAAGTCAAGTTGAACAACACTCACCGGCAACGCTGAGAAGGACGAACGTCAGCTGTGTAAAGTTCCACATTGTATATTTTGTGAAGGTGCGTAGGAAGGTGACTACCGGGCATGGGAGCCGTATTTATACCCTGTAGGTCTCCACCCCTAAGGTTCGTCACTAGCTACCACCATCACAGAGTCATTAACCCCGACTATTTCTACAATTTATCTTCTTAAAATGTAGCTAACCCTCTTAACCTTACATTTTTATGAAATTTGGAAACTAGTGGAAACTCAGCCACTACGTAACCATCCTAACTCAGCCACTACGTAACCATCCTAACTCAGCAACTACGTAACCATCCTAACTCAGCCACTACGTAACCATCCTAACTCAGAGAGACATGTCGCAATGTGTCCTGTACCTTTTGTGAGGGTGTTGTGAGTAAGCATACACGAGTGACTTACAGTGAGGGGGGAAACAATTTTTGATCCCCTGCTGATTTTGTACGTTTGTCCACTGACAAAAAAATGATCAGTCTATAATTTTAACGGTAGTTTTATTTGAACAGTGAGAGACAGAATAACAACAAAAAATTCCAGAAAAACGTATGTCAAAAATGTTATAAATTGATTTGCATTTTAATGAGGGAAATAAGTATTTGACCCCTCTGCAAAACATGACTTAGTACTTGGTGGCAAAACCCTTGTTGGCAATCACAGGGGTCATACGTTTCTTGTAGTTGGCCACCAGGTTTGCACACATCTCAGGAGGGATTTTGTCCCACTCCTCTTTGCAGATCTTCTCCAAGTCATTAAGGTTTCGAGGCTGACGTTTGGCAACTCAAACCTTCAGCTCCCTCCACAGATTTTCTATGGGATTAAGGTCTGGAGACTGGCTAGGCCACTCCAGGACCTTAATGTGCTTCTTCTTGAGCCACTCCTTTGTTGCCTTGGCCGTGTGTTTTGGGTCATTGTCATGCTGGAATACCCATCCACGACCCATTTTCAATGCCCTGGCTGAGAGAAGGAGGTTCTCACCCAAGATTTGACAGTCCATGGCCCCGTCCATCGTCCCTTTGATGCAGTGAAGTTGTCCTGTCCCCTTAGCAGAAAAACACCCCCAAAGCATAATGTTTCCACCTCCATGTTTGACGGTGGGGATGGTGTTCTTGGGGTCATAGGCAGCATTCCTCCTCCTCCAAACACTGCGAGTTGAGTTGATGCCAAAGAGCTCCATTTTGGTCTCATCTGACCACAACACTTTCACCCAGTTCTCCTCTGAATCATTCAGATGTTCATTGGCAAACTTCAGACGGGCCTGTATATGTGCTTTCTTGAGCAGGGGGACCTTGTGGGCGCTGCAGGATTTCAGTCATTCACGGCGTAGTGTGTTACTAATTGTTTTCTTGGTGACTATGGTCCCAACTGCCTTGAGATCATTGACAAGATCCTCCTGTGTAGTTCTGGGCTGATTCCTCACCGTTCTCATGATAATTGCAAGTCCACGAGGTGAGATCTTGCATGGAGCCCCAGGCCGAGGGAGATTGACAGTTCTTTTGTGTTTCTTCCATTTGCGAATAATCGCACCAAATGTTGTCACCTTCTCACCAAGCTGCTTGGCGATGGTCTTGTAGCCCATTCCAGCCTTGCGTAGGTCTACAATCTTGTCCCTGACATCCTTGGAGAGCTCTTTGGTCTTGGCCATGGTGGAGAGTTTGGAATCTGATTGATTGATTGCTTCTGTGGACAGGTGTCTTTTATACAGGTAACAAACTGAGATTAGGAGCACTCCCTTTAAGAGTGTGCTCCTAATCTCAGCTCGTTACCTGTATAAAAGACACCTGGGAGCCAGAAATCTTTCTGATTGAGAGGGGGTCAAATACTTATTTCCCTCATTAAAATGCAAATCAATTCATAACATTTTTGACATGTGTTTTTCTGGATTTTGTTGTTGTTATTCTGTCTCTCACTGTTCAAATAAACCTACCATTAAAATTATAGACTGATCATTTCTTTGTCAGTGGGCAAACGTACAAAATCAGCAGGGGATCAAATACTTTTTTCCCTCACTGTACGTTGTTAAAAACTCATTGTATGTATACAGATGTCCATCTGAGTTGAGCAGCTGGCCCACAAGTAAAATGTCCTTCCTAAACCAAAGTTCTAAAAACAGTGACTTGTTTTTATATTTTATGGCAAGATTATTCCATATTACTTACTTATGAGGGGGGAAATTATGTTTGTATTGAAGGGACCAACAATTAATCATTGGTTTGTTGTTTGTGGAATTCAGCCAGTTTAACCTCTATGGGATCGGTTTCACGTATACGGGACGGTTGAGCTAAAGTTCGCTAATGTGATTAGCATGACTGTTGTAAGTAACAGCAAACTTTCCAGGACATAGACATGTCTAAATGGATATCAGCCATAGGTCTATTCTGGACTGTAGAGTGAAGTTTTTGTTGCTCCAAGATAAATATTTTACCATAGGTTTTCTATACCTCCATATATCAATAACATTCATACAATTACAGAATACAGATAATCTATTACCTGAATCGTGCTGTAGGAGGATATCTGTCTATGGTTTTGTGTAGGACCATTTTAAAGTCTCTACCACATATCAGCATTTGCAGAAGGAAAATGACCTACGAGTGAATTTGCATTCTCTTCTCTATCTTCTAATAGTTTTTCATTTGCATTTCTTGAGTTATAACCATAAACATTACAAAGTAAGAACTGTTTTCCAACAGTTTCAATTACTAAAAAGACCCAGTGACGTCTTGTATCAGTCTCAGTTGTTGATACTGTTCCTTTAAACGTGTCTTTGAGAATAGCGCCCCCTGCAGAATTATCTGCACCATGTGATAACAATAGATCTTTGCCCCACTGGTTTTTCCAAAATTGCACATCCTCTTAGCATGAATAGCATTCTTGTAAGAAAATAAAATCTGACTTTGCCTCTATACAAAATAAAAAATAGCTTTTCTTTTTACAATTCGCGTAAACCCCTCGTGTTAACGGATATAAGAAGTAACTTGTAACAATAAAAGTAGTTAACTACTTAACTGAATTGAACATTTGACTCCCACTCTCTTATAAGCGGAATGGAACATATTATTAAATGTCATATTTTATCCTAATTTAATATTAACGTGTATTGAAACATTAGAAACATTTTTTTTTTACATTAACCAATTACCTGTCACATGTCAGTCAGTCAATGAGAATCATCCAGGTAATTGGTTAATGTAAAAAAAAAATGTTTCTAATGTTTCAATACACGTTCATATTAAATTGTGTCAATCATGTCAAAATAGTCTGAGAGTATGTCAACAATCTAAGATTTAAAAAAGAAACAGGTGAACAAGTTAAATACCGTCGTATTTCCTTCTTATCGATGTATGCTCTAGGGCCCACAAAGTAAGCTCTCTTTCCCTCCTTGCGGGCAAAGAGCAGCTCTGGCCTCCTTGTCCATTATGGTTAGATCCTTTCCAAAGCGGAGCTACTGCTGCATCCCAGAGGGATGGTGGTGGAAGGATAATGCTGCATCCCAGAGGGATGGTGGTGGAAGGATACTGCTGCATCCCAGAGGGATGGTGGTGGAAGGATACTGCTGCATCCCAGAGGGATGGTGGTGGAAGGATACTGCTGCATCCCAGAGGGATGGTGGTGGAAGGATACTGCTGCATCCCAGAGGGATGGTGGTGGAAGGATACTGCTGCATCCCAGAGGGATGGTGGTGGAAGGATACTGCTGCATCCCAGAGGGATGGTGGTGGAAGGATACTGCTGTGTCCCAGAGGGATGGTGGTGGAAGGATACTGCTGCGTCCCAGAGGGATGGTGGTGGAAGGATACTGCTGTGTCCCAGAGGGATGGTGGTGGAAGGATACTGCTGTGTCCCAGAGGGATGGTGGTGGAAGGATACTGCTGTGTCCCAGAGGGATGGTGGTGGAAGGATACTGCTGTGTCCCAGAGGGATGGTGGTGGAAGGATACTGCTGTGTCCCAGAGGGATGGTGGTGGAAGGATACTGCTGTGTCCCAGAGGGATGGTGGTGGAAGGATACTGCTGTGTCCCAGAGGGATGGTGGTGGAAGGATACTGCTGTGTCCCAGAGGGATGGTGGTGGAAGGATACTGCTGTGTCCCAGAGGGATGGTGGTGGAAGGATACTGCTGTGTCCCAGAGGGATGGTGGTGGAAGGATACTGCTGTGTCCCAGAGGGATGGTGGTGGAAGGATACTGCTGTGTCCCAGAGGGATGGTGGTGGAAGGATACTGCTGTGTCCCAGAGGGATGGTGGTGGAAGGATACTGCTGCATCCCAGAGGGATGGTGGTGGAAGGATACTGCTGTGTTCCAGAGGGATGGTGGTGGAAGGATACTGCTGCATCCCAGAGGGATGGTGGTGGAAGGATACTGCTGCATCCCAGAGGGATGGTGGTGGAAGGATACTGCTGTGTCCCAGAGGGATGGTGGTGGAAGGATACTGCTGCATCCCAGAGGGATGGTGGTGGAAGGATACTGCTGCATCCCAGAGGGATGGTGGTGGAAGGATACTGCTGCATCCCAGAGGGATGGTGGTGGAAGGATACTGCTGCATCCCAGAGGGATGGTGGTGGAAGGATACTGCTGTTTCCCAGAGGGATGGTGGTGGTGGAAGGATACTGCTGCATCCCAGAGGGATGGTGGTGGAAGGATACTGCTGCATCCCAGAGGGATGGTGGTGGTGGAAGGATACTGCTGCATCCCAGAGGGATGGTGGTGGAAGGATACTGCTGTGTCCCAGAGGGATGGTGGTGGAAGGATACTGCTGCATCCCAGAGGGATGGTGGTGGAAGGATACTGCTGCATCCCAGAGGGATGGTGGTGGAAGGATACTGCTGTGTCCCAGAGGGATGGTGGTGGAAGGATACTGCTGTGTCCCAGAGGGATGGTGGTGGAAGGATACTGCTGCATCCCAGAGGGATGGTGGTGGAAGGATACTGCTGTGTCCCAGAGGGATGGTGGTGGAAGGATACTGCTGTGTCCCAGAGGGATGGTGGTGGAAGGATACTGCTGTGTCCCAGAGGGATGGTGGTGGAAGGATACTGCTGTGTCCCAGAGGGATGGTGGTGGAAGGATACTGCTGCATCCCAGAGGGATGGTGGTGGAAGGATACTGC